TCAACTGTATGAATAACTTCAAAGATCAAAGAGGCTCCAATATTTTGTCGACCGTCAATTTTTGGTTGGGCTGGCATTCATTACGTCGCTGCTTCAGTCATGTAGCATTCATCTTGAGTGTACTCCAGTGTGCACATCATCTAGCACCCTGGGAACGACGAGCCACATCCCGCTTGGCCATTTATTATCGCATGTAGAGGGCACACAGATGCTCCTCTCCGTCGCTGCTGATGGTAATGTTCTCTCACCAATGCAATCATGGCTGGAAAGCAACTCTAAATGCTTCAGTTTTGGTGTCTCGTGGCCACATTGCCGACTATCCAGATCCGACGCTGCCTTCGGTGGTTCACGAAGCAGAATTTCATCTACATTCCGCCTCTCTTTTGACGTCTCTGGATTCCGGGTACGGTCCTCGGACACTGGGGATGTTTTTGGCGTAATACTGGATGCGATGCCCCCGTGGGAGGCGGGGAAACTGGGAGATGTTTCCACGTTTGTGCAGAGATGCAATGGCAAGCTCTCATCTCTATCGCTTCAGAAGGAATTTCACAGCGAAAGCTCTTCCGGCTATGGACACGCACGTTTCTCCCAAATACGCTGCGGCCCGGCGGCCCGAGGTAGTGTCGCTAAGGCAGGCAGTGATGCCAGTGCAGGGTCACGAGTCTTGCAGTCCGCCTTGTGATAATCACTTACAGGAGTGACCGCACCACACTCGCTCCTGCGGGTGCAAGCAGTGGGCTGCTAGCTAAATGCGAGTTTTTCATGGCATGTAAGGGCTTGCATTGTCCGTAGGATCGCATCACGCATCAGGCCATGCTAACGGCAATGCAAATACCTCATGAACACGGCCCCGCACGACAGTGGTGATTCAGCCGAGGGGCTAAAAAACTACGCAACTAGACAACCAGTTGGTGGCATAACTGATCAGAGCTGCTTATGCTCATATACCAGCGAACGCTCAGAAGTTTTAGTTCCTGCGACGGGGCATGGCACCAGTACGTCAAAGTCGCATTCCCAGCACCACATGCGGTTACGACAGGCATGCCGCTTCTGCCAGCCGCGTCAAGCCTTGGCCGCCCAGGACACATACACCCACACATACACCCACACACACATACGGCGTCGTCACGTAGAGCCGGCGTCCCAGAGGTCGACAGGCTGCCAAATACCGCACCACGTCCAGACGTTGAGCTGCAGCATCATGCCAAGCCCAGCAACCATGTCGCCTCGGCCGGTCGTCCTCGGCGGCAGCCTAGTCGTCTTTCGGGAACGTAGATGACAACAGTGAGTGGCGCGAGTCGCGCGCGGAAACATCGCTCCCCGATCGAATCTGACGATGCGCTCAACAGCACAAAGTAGAAGTGCTCACGCCATTGACACCAGCCACAATTTGAAAAACAGAAAAGACGTTCCGCCATTGAGTTCTCGGACCCGTGGAATCTGCTCAGCCTCTTAATGCCCGCTTGCAGGTGCCCCTGGCGGTCCGGCTCGGTGGCGGGCGGAGGAGCGTCGGGTGCAGTCAGACGTGAACACCGGCATCTGAAGTGCGATATGAGCCCGCCATCACGTGTTTCAGGGGAACGAGCCAGAGGAGAGCCACATCACTTCAAGCCGAAGTGGGCGATAACTGCAGCTGAGCCCGATCCACCCCGCTTATTTTCCCCTCCGCTGGTGCCAATGTCCACCCGGCGCGCTGGGTCGCCTGAAGAGGGCTGAGCGGACTTCGCGCGGAAAACCCAATCCGCGGGAAAGGCCGTCGCCGGTGGCATTTTACAACATTTGGCGCGATTGCATTGCCACATCCTCCCAATTGATTTGAGGAACAATAAGGGCACGGTCGCATTTTGCACCGATTGGTACCATATATTTGTGCTGTGACCAGACTTGTCGCCCAGGGAGCCAAACCGTAAAAGCGGGAATAGGCTGGCAACAGGGAATTATCTTCTGCATCTCCCCAATCATGCATGGCCAATGCGATGGGATTTGACAATAGTGGAACGGGCTGATGGGTATTTAGTCCGCTGATAAACTCCGCTCTGCTAAAATGCTCCAGAAATGCCTAGTTGCTACTTACCTACACTGAAAATGCGCTGGATATTTGTCGAAAAGAAAACAACACAAAGAAGGGTTAGTCGCTGTAGCACCTAGCGCATGCCCTGAGGCACCAATTATCGGTGCTAATGTCCCCCCCGTCCCTCCCCCCCCCCCCCTCCCCCCCCCTCCCCCCACACACACATTGGTCTCAAGCTGCGAATCAGAATTGAAGCCGCAAAATGTTTTTATGTTTGTTAGAATTTCAATGATAATGTGGAATCAGTTCTGGCTTACGAACGGCTGAATGTACGTAACTTTCAGAGGCTTAGTTTTTTATTCAGTTGGAGGACTTCAGACCGCCAACTAATGCTCCAGTCCCCAACGTTGGCGAGAAAGCCGACCAAATATGGGGAAAAGCCTATTTGTTGATATGTTTAGGGGTAGGATGGAATATTTTCACTGTTCACAACCCCTCCCTCAACTAACTTCATCAAACTACACCCCTGGAAGCTTTCTTAAGTGCAGATTGGTCACCAAGCTAAAAGACCGGTTTGGTGGTACTTCGTATGCGGATTACTTGTATTCTGGTGCTGCATGCAAAAAATCTGGTTTTATTCCCAGTGCAACAAGCAGTTTTGCAATTTCAGCTTTATTCTCAGCGTGTAAGCATGTGCTTGTAACTGTGGGCATATATATTAGTTATTGTACACATCTATCAATTGGTGTATCTAATTTCGAAGTTTGCGCTCTTCTATCAGAGGCCTAAACCTGACTCCTAATGATGCCAGGTTCAAGAGAGGCCGAGCTCAGGTAGCAAGCTGAGGGTCGAGCTGAGGGGCACGCGTGCGTCAAGCGTGTTTCTACTCCGCTTGACGAACTGACGCTGACTGCTTATCTGAATATGTGATGCTTACCCGCCGACTGACGCCGACTGCTTACCTTACGAGCTGACGCTTACCCGCCGACTGACGCCGACTGCTTACCTCACGAACTGACGTCGACTGCTTATCTGACGAACTGACGCCGACTGCTTACCTGACGAGCTGACGCTTACCCGCGACTGACGCCTACTGTTTACCTCACGAACTGACGCCGACTGCTCACCTGACGAGCTGACGCCGACTGCTTACCTGATGACCTGACGCCGACTGCTTACCTAATGACCTGACGCCGACTGCTTACCTGACGAACTGACGCCGACTCTTCACCCGACGAGCTGACGCCGGCTGCGTGCCTGACGGGCTGACGCTTACCCGCCGACTGACGCCTACTGCTTACCTCACGAACTGACGCCGACTGCTCACCTGACGAGCTAACGCCGACTGCTTACCTGACGAGCTGACGCCGACTGCTTACCTGACGAACTGACGCCGACTGCTCACCTGACGAGCTGACGCCGACTGCTTACCTGACGAGCTGACGCTTACCGCCGACTGACGACAACGTGATGAACAGCATATATGTCGAGGCTGACCAAATGGATCTGGTCAAGAAGCTGTTGCTGCGAGGTACATCTCGATAAGGGATTCTGGAATCAACTCCCTGTGTCCTGTTTCTTTCATTTTCCAGAATCGAGCGTTTATTTTGACGCTCTGTTGCGGGATCTTCTGAGAGCCAGCACCCATTTCTAGATTTTGCCCAGTTATGTTCCACGATATTGGACTTTTGGTGAAAACTTGTAGGAGGCTCTCTCGAGATCGAGGATCTTTTTCACAATTTTGTGAAGCCCCCTTTCGGGTTTAATGTCCTTTTCCTAATTTTGTCAGGAATATTTTGGAGTCTGAAAATCTTTGTCGGGTTAAAGGCACATGTCTGTCTGCAATGCCGCTCTCGCACTCCAGCCCATTAGAGTCGCTCTTCACACCGCGCCGCCCCGTCCCATGCCCTGCACGTGTTGGACCATCACCGCCCCTGAGGCGTCGGACCGGCCTCACTCCAGCGGCTCCCGTGACAAGGCCAGGGGGGATGAGAGCCCCTGAGCCCGGCAGGAGTCGGCTGAGGCGGCAGGTCCAATTGGAGCCGGCGGGTCGCGTGCGCCGCGCCTCATTACGAATGCGTCAGAGCTGGCGGGGCGGGGCGGAGCGGGGCGGGGCGGGCCGTCGCATTGTCGGTCGAGGGTTGGAAGTTGTAGCGCTCTGTAGCGGCCAGGCCTGGCTGCAGGCGGCTCGTGCTTGACCCGCAGATACCTGCTTGGGGGCCGCACGGTCGCCGCACGTGCACCCGACCCCGATCGATGGCCTCAGAATGTGCCACTCAGAAACGTCGCCGGGTGGTGCGGCCTGCCGGCCACCGCGCCTCCTCCCAGCTCTGTCGTCGAGGCTCGCTCTGCGGGGGCGACACACCGCCGGCACACGAAGCGGGGTGGAGGCTCAGCCCACGGGTCACAGGTAGGAAATCGACCAAAGCCAGGTCTGGTTCTGGAGCTTACCAGGCATGTTTGGTTCTGGAGCTTACCAGGCAGTCACTGAACAACTCTGGTGGCATGGATGCACGGTGACGGAGGAGCTTTATCGAGCCATTGAAATGCGCGATAAGACCGCCGTTTATCGGAGTGACCCCCTCTGTCTGAACAAACAAGCCTCGCGTGCCGCGGGAACAGAGCCCAAGTCTGCAAGGCATCGATTGCCGTCGCCTGCACCCCTCTCTCTGTGTACGTGGGCTGGCGAGAGAAGTCATTCTCGTCACTCCGGCGTTTCAGCTCGGTCCCACCGCCGACCTAAGCACCGGGTCAAACGCCGTCACGGTACCTTTCCCACAGGCTACACACACATGGGAGGTAACTGGCGCGTGCTCCACGACTCGGGGCGAGCTCGCTGCGTCCGCCCTTGCCAGACCCGCTGTCCACACACTCCACACACGACACCAGCTCCGGCCGGGTCCACCGCTCAGACGAGCATTGCGCGCCTTCGCTGGCGCCCTCGCCGACCCCGGCCCGGCGCCGGTCGCCGGCCGGCGCCGCCACTCACCGATGTTGACGATCTTGATGTGCTCGTCCCGCTCCAGGAACCGCAGCGCCACCGACACGTTCTCCAGCTTCTGCGAGCGGAAGGCCGGCCGCCGGCTGTGCTTCGGCATTCGCTTGCCGCTGAGAACCTCGATGAGCGCGATCAGGTTGAGGCCATCCTGCAGGTCCGTCTCCAGCGAGCCAATGTGACGGCTGGCCACCTTCAGGTGCTCGTTGGCCCAGCGCGTGAACGTATTCTGCTGGATGCGCTTCCACTGCGCATCCTTGGCGAGGTCGCGCTCCTCCGCCAGCATGGCCGCCTCCTCCTCCTCCGAGCCCTGACGGCGCGGACTAGCGTGGCGCGTCGCGCCCACGCCGTCAGGGTCCATGGTCGCGACGCTGGCGTCACCTGTTGGCCAGCGGGAGAAACTGTCAGCGGGCCGTGCGCGGCAGTACGCGTTTAGCCGCGACATCCACTATCACACTGGCGTATTAGTGTTTCAAAGCCCGCCGTAACGTAGGCAGGGGAGCAGATGGCAAGTGTCTCCCCCGCCCTTGGGTTCTTAAATGGCATTCAGAGGGCCCTGCGCGCCGCTTGGGGGGCCCTGAGTCACGGAGGGCCTTTATGTCAGTCCGGCACCACTAGTGCCGGACACCGAATAGTTGGTTCCTTGTCGGTCTGGCCCAACGGCCCATTTCCCAAACAGGGAAAATGCCGGGGCACTCAACTTAAATTGGTCGGGCTGCCAAGCCAATGAGGGGCCCTTTGATTCAGTCAGGGGCCTGTAATGGCTAGCAGCGGGTTCTGTGTCGACAAGGGGTCCTGAGTCGGTCAGGGGCAGTGTTCGAGGGACCGAAAAAACGGCACGAAACGTCCTTCGGGACCGACGATCAAAGGTCTGATTAAAAGGTGACAGATCTGAGGGTCTGAAATGGTGGCTGTAATTCACATTAAATATCCCATCCCTCCACCAGCATGAAAATAAGTCTGATTTCTGTAATAACTGGAGCGCCCATGTCCAGCATATTACATATGTAATGTCGCACAAGACGTGATTCGCGGCTGAAGCCTGCTCAGTCTGCTCAATTTTGACTGAGAGATAACTGAAGTCCATTTTACCCGGAAATCGTTCTCACAAACGCCAAATATGAATGACTCGGCGATTATATACTTGCTGGACCTGAACGCCTCACGGCCAGTTGGGTGGCAGTATTGAATGGCATTCATATGTCGCCGTACGTGCCTGAATAGCATCGAAATAGTCTGCACGAAATACTCTACACCTCTTTGCGGGCGTGTACCTCAAAAAGTTATGACTGAAAGTGATCTTAGGTCTAAAAAGGGCAGGGCTGTAAACCGCACCAAATAATCTTCAAAATTCCTAGTTCAGCTCAAAACCCCATGCAAATTTAGAACACTCTCTTCAACAGCCCGGTGGCTGAAATCGGGTGAATGGCTCTCTGTTCGATACTGGGACACTCACTGACGCAGGGCGCATTGTGGGCCCTCATCATAAGTAATCATATTGCCTTTAATTGGCAGAGGGCCCTGGGCAATATAAAAGGCCTTATGGCGCTCGGCGTCCTCTTCCTGTTTCTGTTCAGCAAAGGCTCCTCCAGCAGACCCTGGAACCCCTGCCGACGCAGGAGCCCCGTTAGGCTCTTACAGGAGCCCTCATTGTTGCAGGGGCCGTGATCAAAGCAAATCGCGGATTCTGGCCTCGTCGCTGCTTGGGTAATCGGCCTCTAGGGTTGAGATCGACACAGAGCTGGCTGGTATTGGTCATCTCTGGCCGAAATAGAGGCCCGCATTGTTTCAGGAGTCCCCAGTTAGTTAAAGAGACACCTTGATGGACATTTGAGGTCATGAGGCTACGGGCGGGGTCCCTAAGATGGCCTGCATGCATCCATTCGGGCCCTTCAGCCTTCTAGTCCGCCCTTGGTGGTTAGTTCCGAACTCCCTTCGGGCCCTCTTTTGGCCCTCTTTTGGTTCTTTTATGGGTCCTCCCGAACACAGCCCCGGCTGACCCGGGGTCACTTGCGCTACAGCATCCCCGCTAGGCACTGAGCGTACCTGACCGACACAGAACGCAGGGAACCCCAATGCAATGCACCTTAAACTCACGGATAGGTATGTAGGAACACAACGAGAAAGGACCAGCACGTGGCGATGTTTGGTTCAGCACCTCCACGGCCACCTCTCGGGAGATTATAGTACTACGAGAGAGTGCTGGGGTGGCAATTTTGCACGGCTAGTTTGGCAGTATCTCGGACGTCATACAAAATTGCATGACGCAACCCAACAATGGCGTACTGATGAGCATCTCTACTAAATAGAGAAATTTTGTTGTCTATAACGGTCTGTTCCACCAAAAAGCAAACCAAATGGTTATAACCGAGCTTATTTCAGCATATCTGATGTTGCCCAGACATCTTCAAAAGTAGAACTTTCCCTTTAAGCCGAATTGCAGTCTATGTGACAATTATAGGACCACCTGGAGTGATAATGGATCTTGTTGCGTCAATGAGGGTTCCCGCGTCGATCTGAGGCCAAGTGCCCCTTGTCCGAGGGTGTCCCACAGCAGGGAGGAGATGCAAGGGTGTCAGTTTTTATAAACTATTAGCGCGCCGAATCGAAGGACAGCCAACTTACCCCATTTTTTCATCGGATTCAGCCCACTTTATTTTGATTAAACGCACTGTGTGGTTTTCATTTTGTATAATTTATATAAGTCTTTAACTTAAGCGGTATAGAAGTCATGCAGCGTTGGATCCAGGGAGCAGGCACTGGACGCACGCATCTCTACTGATTGGCACATAAGGCGCCCCTTGAGAGGCACCCTTAGGGCGACGATGGCGCCTTTCTTTTTCAGGGCTCCCGCCTCCCGCAGCACGGAACGCAGGAAAGACGAACAACAAGAGGATGAAATACATTTGGCTGTAGAGACTATAAATGACCTGATCACTAACTTTGTTTTGATACAGCTTCTGTAGTGCAGCTGAGAAAGGTTCAGTTGGTGCAAGTGAACAGCACCCTAAATTATTTCACCGCTTTTGCTCCGTTTCCGCGATTTCTGCATGGCGATCTCTGCATGATTTCTTTTGCATGGCGGTCATGGTAGGCGGCACGCATTTTGGTTGTGGGGGACGGGGACGAGGCTAGCAATGAAGGACTTAGGTCTTTCCCATATTCCAGAGCTTTTCACTTTAACCTCACAAGTCATTACGTGTCTTATGGCGCCAGATATGGGAAGATATTACATCGTGTATCCGCTCAGCTGTTACAATTCGCATCTGGTGGCGAGGACAGCCATGACTTTTTGTTATGGAAGTGGTACAAGCCACTAGGCAGAAAGTTAAAAAAAAAAGATGGTCTTGGCGTTATGATCATCTTTTACCCACGTTTTTAGTAGTATTCCAGGCAAAAACATCGGGTGGCCAAGCCAACATGGGGCTTTAACTCAACATTGGGGGGTCAGGGCCCTCACAAAAGAATATAAGTCGACACCCGTGAAGGTAAGATATCTTCCTCTAAAACCCTACAGATCGGCCATTGACCGCGACCCTGTCTTCGCGCCCCCAAAACTGTAGGCGGTGGGGCAGCTGCGCTGGGATGAAATTCTTCCGCCCTTTGATGGGAACGGAATGGCGCTCTCTAGTGTCCTTCCCACGCAGCCATTTGCCCGAAAAAGGGCAACGAGCCTCATTAGTATCAAACAGAGCGGCTTGAAATTGGGTAAAACCATTCCCTGCGCAGTGTTGGCTTGCGAAATGTTGAAAAAGTGTTCATCCTACGCACTCGCAAGCTTAGGAGCAACAGCTATGGCCGAGGTTGTCGTTTCCGTAAAATCGAGCAACCTTGGCCGCTGCAGATAACACCAGGCGGCGGGAGCCGAATACGCGAGAGCAGCCGTCGTGCAAATAGTACTTCTGAAAGTCTTTGACACCGCGCTGGCGCCGCGTTGTCTGGGCCTTGCAGCGCCAAAGGTATCCAGTTGGGCCAAAATTTGCGTTAATTACGCCGTTGCTTTAGACCATCGCGTTTAATGAAAAATACGTGGCTGAAAAACTTGTGATATCATAGAAGTATTGTCAACCACAGAAACCAGAGGACGCACGCGGTTATGCATTACACCAGCGATAATCGTACATTATTAACTATGTGGACATCGTCATTAATTTATGCGTACAGCCTTCCTCTGCACATGTGCCATCAAGTTTCAACAACTTCCACAATTTTCATTTCAGGTTTTCCGCAAATCATGCACTCGATGGTTGTTTGAAACCAAAGAAAAGCAGCTACTCTATTTTCCACTTGAAATTCACAAAAATTCGAGAGGAACATTAATCTATCCTCTCACAGCGAGTTTTGGCATAATAGGCGTAGTTAAGTAAAGTGTACACAGGAAAACAACTGGCCATCTCCAATGACTGGATCTAGAAAGCCTTTTTCTAATAACAACTGAAAAAATGAATGTGGTTAAAAGTGACTTTCGCATATTTTCACGCACTTGAAATGCTTTAAAACACCGTTCAGTGATGGTTGGTCTAGAAAAGTAACAATAATCTACGTCAGTACGCCCTCGATTCTTTATTATTGAGCGTAATACATTTTTAGCCGACTAGAATGCGTGGGGAACTTTTAGAGGGCACAGTGCATGGTGGCGTCCTTGGTTGCAAGATGATCTGCACATCGAGATCAACGACACATTTGCAAAATCTCAGGATTATATCGGATTCAGGCTACGTACCTCGGCACTCCCTACATCTCAGAAGGGCAGGGTGGGTGGTAACCATACGAAATTGTCCGGCGGATCTCCGCCTGTGCGCAGCAGAATCCCGTCTGTGCTCCGTAGAACATTTTGTGTGAGCTATAGGGCTAATGAGCCGTGACGCTGCGCCGCTTGTGATGTCAGTTGCTCGCGGTCATGTTCGACCATGATTCATGGGCCATTTTACTGCCCGCGCCGGCCCATTCGCTGCGAGAATCTGCAACTGACTGTAAAAACGCTGAGCTTCACATCGTTGCTTATTGGCGGAGGCCAGCAGCTGAGACAACTATAGCACACTTCACCGCCAAAGCGTTAAAGTCAAACTTTTACGAACACTGCGTGTGGTCAAAGGCCAGCCAATCCCGCCCTTGTGTCAACACCTTTGTTGCAGTGCGTGTTTGGTGGGTTCTTGTTCTCCTCGTCCCCTACAATCTGCTCCTGTGGGGTGCAAACACATCATGCGTGCTTTGATTTTTTCGGCTGTCACACGTGGTGTATTCTAAGTTATATCAGGTTATATGAGGTTAATTATATCCAAAATTTTCGGTGCAA